TCGTTATGTTATGTTAGTGGTCAATAGTAACCTCGGTAATTGCCTCACACCGACAGTTTTTGGTCGAGGTGGCCATCCAGTGGGATGTCTAATTTAGTAAATACAAATATTCAGACAATGAAGGCAGAATGGATAAAGTAAGGATTAGGAAACAATTAAACGGGACAAAGATTTTGAAGCTCTTCATATTGATATGTTATAAGTTGTTTATGTCGAGATGTATTTTTTTTTTTTTGGTACATGGACCTTCCAATTTTCGGATCCACAGGGGAAGCGATTAATTCGGAATCGAGTCGGGTAGGATCACAAGGGCGGCAAAGCTCTCCCTCAAGAGTTTTAACACTGCTGCATTCCCAGGACTCGAACTCGAGACCACTGGTTAAGCTGGAAGAGACCCAAACCATCTCATCCAAGTGCTCTTGGGTTATGTCGATGTATTTAAGATGCCACAACATAATTTGTTTCAAGTCATCTTGTAACACCCCGAGTTTTATTAATAAAGGAATTACTAGCTGTTAATGTTAAGCTAGCCTTTGTTAATAAATAAATATGTTCATGTTTAAGTTCAAGCAAATTCAGTCAATCAGATTCTAAGTTCGACTAATAGTCGATATGTTATTCGGTTGATAACCGAATAAGTTTCAGATTTAATTCCGATTCATTTACTTAGTTAATGAGTCTGGAATTAATAAGCCCAGTTGACGAATTATTCGAAATATTTATGTTCGGATTAATCGTCTAAGTCAAACGTATTCGAATTAACTTTCGAATTGTCATGTTTATGTTCGGAATAGTTTTCCGATAATTAATTCAGTTAAAGTTCTTTATGTCAGGTTCATGTTCGGAATAATATTCCGATAGTTAATCCAGTTAAAGTTCCTTACGTCAAGTACGGTTTACCTATAATGTGACATGTTCACATTGGTACGCCGTCCATCGTTAATTAAGTAATGGTCATTAACCTTGCTTAATTAACTTAATCATGTTTAATCTAATTAATCGAGATTAGCTTAATGTTAATTAAGATTAATTAACATTAATGAGGATTAATTAAGGGATAA